TTCACCCATCTGGTCTGGAGCTTATCTTTGAAAGCTTCTAGTTAACTTCATGCAACTCTACCATTAAAAAGTATCTTCTGCATTAGTGAAACCAGTCTCAAAAGCATCCCTTGAAATATTACATCTACAAAAACAGAAGCTCTTCCTCTCTAATGTCTCTTCCACAGTTCAATACACCATTTTGTTTTCATCAATTTGCTTATGAGAACTAGATTCCTGTCTTGGCATTTCCTGCCTTTGACAGAAGCTGCGCAAGAAGAGAATGATGTTCTGAGTGAGCACAAAGCACACTGGCTGGCAATAGTGCCTAGAAGATGAGAGGAGTACTTGTCCTTGGAAGTACCTTTTTATTTTAGTGTTAAGTGCATCATCAAATTCAAGGGGTTTAATTTGTGAAAGAGATCATTGTTAAGCCTCACATGCTTTTAGTTTGTATCTATGTCAGACTACATTACTGCATTGAGGCCAAGCCACAACTCAGTTAGGACTTTAAATATACCTTCATTTTATATATACACTTTTTGTCTAGGGCCTGCTTAATACAACCCCTCCAGCAGAAGGGGTTGCAAAACAACACAAACAACAAAACATCCCCAAACACTTAACGTGAGCTCTGCCCTGCCAATATGCCTCTTTTGGAGAGTTAAAGATCAATTACAGACAATTATGCTAGTTAGAAGCATAATTTCAGATGTGTCAGGAATAACCACACTGGTTGCCTGTGCTGATTCCAGAAGACCGATCACCTCTAAACCTGGCTGAGCTGGAAGCCAGAAATTCTCTGAAGCTGAGCAAGGTAGGTCGATTCACATTAACACCTACTGAAAGAAAAGTTACTAAAGACATGCTGTTTTAACTTAAGTTTTGAAATAGTTCTGAATAGCTGAAAGAATCAAATCAGACACATCAAGCCTGGCTGCATGTAAAAGGCTGCATATTAAAGGCTGCAAAGTATTCACTTCCAGAACACAGAGTGGGGAAAAAACACAGCACACAATCACCAAACAAAACCCAAGTATACATTTGCAGAATGATTTCTGAGGACAGACTTCAGATCAAATGACTACTGCTAAGAGTGATATCTAATAATGTTTCAGATTCAAGGACTTGGTTATGACTGCACATGCAATTAAGTCTGAACATTTTAAGGAATTACTGCTCTTCATTTTAGTCAGCAGTGGTTCGTGCTAGCTGGCACTTTAAATGGACATGAGTTTTCTGATCACTAGTTACTGAATCTCATTTCTCAGTTAACAGACAGTAACAGACAGTTCTGCAGAGGTAACAGCATTCAAATCCAACTGCAAGAACACATCCAACTAGTTTAAGTCATCCGTGAACTCTTCCAAAAAGAAGATATTCTAGGTACAATACAGATACATTATTTTCAGCTACTATAAAATGGCACAAGACAAAATAATTCACTGAGATCTCCTAATTACTTGCTCATTTTTAATCACAACTCTCCAGGCACTGGTATATATTATTAATAGAAAAATTAAAAGGTTAAAAATAGTGTACAGTTTAGCACAGAAGGCAACAATGAAACAGAAGCACATAATTTTAATTTGCTTTGAAGTCTAGAGCAATTCAAACAAAAAAGTTAACTATATAAATACAGAGTAAATGCACATAGTTTACAACCAACTACATGTATGCAAGAATAACAGCAAACCTCACAAGAGCACTGAAGTATTCTCAAACTGTCATTTGTGAGTGTTTAGCTATGACTTCAAGGGCATATTATGTTCACATATGCAGGGTAGGCAGTCTTAAATAAAAGAACTGAAAATTTACATAACAATCTTAAGAGACAGAAAGTTGAAAAAAGTAGCACATTTACCTAGGCACACATCAGCATTCAGCTTGTTTTCTGAATTTGAACAGTTTAAACAGGAAGCAACATTTATGAAGGCTCTCCAATCTTTTGTCTCTGGAAGCATTCTTTTAAAATGCTACAGTTTGAGGAAAGTTACAAAAAACTGTAAGAACAAAAACAGAATAGCAGAAACAGTCATTAACAAACATCTCAATCAGAAAGGAAATATATGGAGTGCATTATGTAAACAGGGAACTAGAGAGATGCAACATCAATATACAAGTGGACAAGTTGATGTTTCAACTACAGTTAAAATAACCAAAAAACTCCATAAATCCCTAGTGTAAACCTACTTAAAACAACATAGGTTAGTAGATCAGAAATTCAGACAGAAACACCAGATTTATCTGTCAGTTGACAGGCTGGGTGGCTCAACCCTTTGCAACACACCACAACTCACTTGTTTTCACACAGCTCTACGGGGACCGAATGGATAATAGAGGGGTCAAGAAATGTGACTGCATTCACTGAAATTTTTATTTTTATGGCTTTCCAAACTCGAGCCACCTTGCCACATCCCCTCAATACGCCATAGACACCCAGTGACAACCAGCGCTGTAAGGAGCCAGGCAGGCCCTGGCAGATGAGCCCCTTTTCCCTCTGATGAATGAATGCTTCATGCCATCTTCTGACTGGTTCAGAAACTGCAGTCTCACAGTGTCCCAAATCCAACTGGTTGCTGACTCAAAATTAACAGCAATAACATTAAAGTTTCATCTAGGCAAGGAAAATACACAGAAACTAATTAATTACTAAGAGTTTTTCAGACATCAAAGACCTTTGCCTCTAGCACAGAAAAGTGTGACATAAATACACTACATTCAAATATTAATCAAGATGACCATCTAAGTTACAAGAAAGTTTAAATGCACTCCTTTCAGTTCTGTACTTAAGAGATATTACTGAATGTAGCATCTTCTTATTCCCTTTGAGTTTTAATAATAAATATCAAGAAAACTATATAAATAATTTAAAGATCTTTGGGAAATATTTCAGAGGTAACTTTATATGTACTGGTAGTTTAAAAATGAAGAAAAAACCCAAGAAACTTTGTGTTCATGGTTTTTTATGTAAAACAAGCCAAAAAGATGACTCCTGAAGTTTAAAACATTGCTTAAACGCCCATTAAAAAGGTGGAATAATAAGCTGATTGTCTGTTTTTAGCTGTTGTCTCCCATATTCAATTGCTCTTAACATTTTTCTACTTATCAGCTGCAGGGGGTCTGTTCTCACCCAGACAAGGCACACATATGGTACCCAGTGGATTAATGGGAGAGGAACATGTAATCAAGGGAGAAGGTATCCAATAAGCAGAGGAGAGAGAGCCTAGGCTAATCCAAGTATTAATTGTATTCATGAACCCCAAAGCTGAATATCATCTTTGCCAATTTAAATTTTGGCTATGATTGAAGAATTTGAGTAGCCTGAAGAGTAATCCACTTTCTACAGAACTAAAGTTACAGTAAGTAGCTATTCCTACACTTAGTTATCTGAACAATGGCATCACATCAAGACTTTGGTCAGAGTCATGAATACTCTAGACTTTTCCTAGAGAGCTCACTAGAAAAAGCCTACTTTAGAAAACACACTGAAGCACTCCCCTCACTTTAAAACAACCAAGTTCACCTTTGGTCACATCACAGATCACACTGTCTTTAAAAAGGTAAGATAACATTTTCCAAGGAGAAGGAAGTCAATATAGCTAAGCCTCCACTGCAAGGTCGCTGTATGCACTACAGGTGGCTTTTAGAAGGATGAGCAATTAGTACAGAAAATTACATAAAAAACTCAAATACTTTGACACTGTGTGGAGAACAGGACAAGGGTCAAAACAAAGAAAAGCAAATGAGAAAAACCTAGACTGATTGTTCTGTAGGCTTTGAGCTTTTACATACAGCATACAGAACTGCTGCAACAGAGATACTATGGATCTACAGCATAAAATGTTTTATTCTGCACAGCTTATACAGAAATGAAACCATATGCTTTGTTTAAAACCAAACTACATGTTTTGAACACAGTTTGACTACAGATAACCAGTAAGAGAAAGAAAAGTAATCAGCCATAAGAAGGCCACAAAGTGCATAAGGAGTCATTGATAAAACAAAGCCATTGCACACAACGCACAGTTTAAATGTACTTAAGTACCACACTGGAAGAGTTGATAGCACAGTTCTGTTCACACCAGTGTAGCAGCATTTATATGTAGAAAGCTATTGCCCCCAGTTTCTCATGATCATCTTCCTCAATGATCATGGATACAGACTGAGAAGTACTCAAGGTACAGATTAAAGGTATTTGTTTGGAAAGCTGTACAACAGCTTGTAACATTAAGCTTCTGATTTTGACACTCCAGCTGTACCACTTTGGAAAACTCTGTAAATTATCACAGAAGAAACGAGCTAGGTCTCACTGCTGAATGCAACACATTGTTTTGCAATTGGCTTACAGAACAACAAAACCAATGCCTGAACATTCAATCTGGAGGACAGTGTTAAACTGTCAGCTGCAGTCCAGTACACAGTTGGAAAAAGTGATACATCAATTACCAAGGGGAATGCTTACAAGAAAAGCTCAATTACAATTTTCTCCAGTGTTCTGCACAGAGGCTGTCTGCACTTAAAAGATCTATCACAACTTCAACTGTTTTCTGCTTTCTAGTCACCTTAACCATGGTGATATGTGTTCTCCCCCTGTACTCCCATATAGATACTGGTAATCCAAGTCAGGATGTGCCAGACATTTTAGGGTAATACTGCTTGTTCTTAGGTAGCATGAAACTACTTGAGTGAACCTTGTCTTCAGAAATGGTAGGTTGGACTAGTTGAGAGTTCTCATCACATTAAGAACCTTTAAAAAGGCTATGAAGTAGCATTCAGCAAGTTCTTCCTTAGCTGTGGGAGTGACCTGACAGGTTGGCAAGGAAAACACAATATAGGAGAACATTTCATAGGTGTCTCTCACTTATGGAAAGAAAGTTCCAGAAAAGAAAGAGGACAATGCAGGAGAACTAGAAATTCACATATGCTGATATTAACAGATACAAAACCTGAAGAGTTCAGCAATCAGATCCTTTCTCACTAACCTACAACACTGCTCAAATTAAAAAAAAGTAATCACCTTTTGTAGTGAAGAAATAACTCCATTCTGGGTCCCTGCACCATATTTTGTCTTGAGGTAGCAACATGGAAAAATTTACACACTGACTACTACCTCAGTCTCTTTATGAATCTTCAGAGCAATTGAATGGAAGTTTAAGGTATGGAAAGGTATGAAAGTACTGTCTTTCCCATTCTTCCTACAGGTTACTGTGCAGTAAAACAGATCAAAAAGGATGTAGTTGAGAGTAATCACTAAGAGAAGTAAATAAGGCTGCCCAAGAATATATTTTACATGCCCTCCCTCACCCATCAAGTCTCTGAAGAGGACTGAATGGCCTTGTCTAGATTAACAGATGAAAAGAAAGTTACAATCTTGAATTAAGAGATGTATAAAGGCATTCCCTAAGGGGTAGTTTGCATTTGTCACATTGCCAAGAGACCACACAATAAGGCAGCAAAATTATTCATAGTTGCCCTCAGTCAGCCTTCTGTTTTGCCCATAGCTGCACGTTCCTGGTATAACTTTCCTTTTGCCCACCACATTGGCATTCACATTCAGTGGTCCACTCCAGTCTTTCAATCTTCCATGTTCTTCTAGGAAGCCTTGTTACACTGCTATCCATCAAGCAAGTAGACTACCACTTCATAGGTTGACATCATGATAGCCGTGTTCGGAATCTGTCTGATCAGATGCATAGTTAAACCTCGGTAGAGGGATCCATACCCTTCTTCTCGTACAAGCAAAGATAGTGTCTGGAAGAAAGACCTGTATTTTGTTCCCTCTTCTCTTAGTCTTGTTCGTACAACCTCTGTACAAAGAAAACCACATGTGGTTACTTTCACCACTTTTCATTACCTTTCCCAGCAACCAGTTAGTGATTTTACATTCAAATTCAACCTTTCCCCTTTCCCAAGTTCTCAATCTCAGAACTCCTCTTTAAAAAATGAGGAGGAAGACAAATATAAAAGCAAACTAAGTATGTGTAAGAGGAAAAGAAGTTATGTTTTTGGTAGTATTAGATATCTAACTAAGCAGAAAGTTCATTTGCTTAGTTAAAATCCAGAAGGGGATTGTTGTTTGGGCTTACGTTTTAGCTTGGAAGTTGCAACTAATTGCAACTAATGTCCATTGACAATCTTAATGTATATACAATTACTTTGCTTTCCTACAAAGCACAACTGAAAATCAAATTAGACAGCCTGTTTTCCTAGAAAGGGGACAAGAACTTGCTGGCAAATTATGTGAAATTGTTGAGTATGCAGAGAGATTCCAAGTGAAAAAGGATCTTGTTTTTAAGTACTCTGGGTCACACCCTGGCAAATCCTTTGGAAAAAATAAACATTGCCTAAGAAGAGGCCATGCTAGATAGCCACTTAAAAATACTTCAGCTTCTGAGTACTATACTCATGTTAACTCACTGAATCAGACATGAAAAGCTTTAGACAAATAAATAATTCCTGAGCAAGTGAGCCAAAGTCTGCTACAGATATCACTGAAAAGACTCCCTCTGATAATTTTATTCAGGCTCTTAGCTGTACACGTCCCACTTACCATGGGGATATGCTATTGATGTTGCACAAGTTTTAGAAGTGGCAGCAGCCATCATCATTCCAACAAAGTCCGAAGGTTCTTTTGCCGATTCATCCTCATTGTCCAAGGCAGAAGCAGTCTTATACTCCTGTAGTTTTCTCTTAATACTCTCATAAATAACAAAATGAATAACAGTCTCAGATATGCCTGCGTAGGATGCTGACATTCCTCTGTAAAAGCCTTTAATACCATCTGATCGATAAACTTTTTGGACACATTCGAAAGCACTCATTCGCTTTTCTCCACGATTCCTAAAAAGAAGAGAAAGACAGATATGAAGCTGGTGCAATTTGAGACTGGAAAATAATTAAACAGTTTTGCTTGAGTGACAAGGGGACTTAGGAAACACCTCATGATGCTGAGGGGCTCCGATTCAGACACATTTAAGAACCCAGAACTTGAAGTGAAAGTCTCAAAGGCCTTCAGGCACTAAACACAGGTAAAGCATTACACGGAATCCAAGCCAAATGGTGACTAAAGAAAAAGTACCACATAGACAAGTTGAACAGCTCTAGGCTTCCCTAAGTCTTACAGAATAAAGGACTAAATTGCTTGAAAACAGAGTCCCAAATGAACTGTCAGTGTTGATGAGTCATGAAAAAAATGACCATTTTCTTCTGCATAATAAGTGGATTTCCCCTAAATTGTGTCAAATACATAACTTCATAACATGGCAATTACATTGGCTAAGAGTTCAAAGAGCAGGCCTCACAGCTATCAGCAAACAACTAGCATCATACCAACCAATACAACACAGGTAGCTATTATTTTATTGAACTAAACCACTGCTGATGTCAACGAAAATGCTCAGACATGGCTGTATCAAGCAATACTTGGTAAATAAAGTCTTATTCCTATTTTTAGCTTGCTTACTAAACTGATTTGTGCATGTTGAAATACTTTGCATACTGTACAGTGCTACACAAAATCGTTACAACACTCCATAAAATATGCTTCACGGCAGCAGTGAGTGCAGGCGCTTGAAGCATATGGATTCTGCCAGCAGAGGTCTCCTGAGTGAGCAAGTCAGAACAAAACAGCAAATAACCTTGTAAGAAGTTGTGGTAACTCATATGGATACTGTCAAAGCAAGATAGACAGTGGTGGTAGCTACTGTGTAAGTAGTATGAGGCATCACTCGATGGCAGAATTTAAGTCCTGCTGGTTTGAATCTGCAATGTCAGAGAGCAATGAAACAAGGTACCAAGCACAATTAAGAGAATGAGTGGGCCCACATAGCTGCGAATCAGATCTTGAGTAAGCTAGGTGGCAGATGCTGCAGAGAAGTGGAGGGCTGGCATTGATTTGGTGACAGGCAAGAGAAAAGAGTGAAAGAACAACTGGCGAGAAGAGCAGCTGGACCTACAGTTGCATATCCAGGGGTACCCCAGTCCCCACATGTCCCTATATACCTAGATAGGTGCAATGACAGATTGCTGTAAGAGTTTCTTCTGATGCGCAAGATGCACACCATTGTCTTGAAGGCCAAAGCAATTTCACTTTGGAAACAAAACACATGCCTTCTCCTGTTCTTACTAGGATCATAAGGATTTCTGAGAACAACAAACAAGATGAGGCCAGGATAATCCCAAAGGTCAAGCGTTTTTATGCCTCTAATAACTGAATGAGAAGACCTGAGAACACAGTATATGCTAGACTAGCTCAGTGTCCTACGCAATGTCAGAAGATCCTTCTTCAGATCTCTCACACAGTGTGCTTGATATAACATACAGAAATAACATGCACAAGAAATCTATTATTTTCCCTAATTTCCCTCAAGCTCTATAGTTTAAGCAATTTAACTGTTTTATCAGTAAAAAACAAGCAAAGGCACAAGATATCACCAGGATGCACATAGCACCAAATCCCCTTGGAATTAGTCATGGAATTACTACCTCAATCATACAATGTCATCACAAAAAAAAAAATCTCATTGTCTGGGATATATTTACTATGGTTACCTTGCAGCTAAGTAGGCCTACTATGAGGAAAAATGCTAATATGCACTTAATTCAGAAACTCCAACAGATCTCTAAAATAGTAATATGTGGACCATTAATGTATTTAAGATGGCAGAAGAAGGAATTTTATATTGCACGCTAAGTTTTCTGTAGAGAAGTCTATAAAATGAACAAGACAGTTGCATTGAGACACTTGCACCATATCAGTTGCCCCCTACAGTTTTAAATAGATAGGAATATAAAGATCTTTCTTTCTCCCTTTTTGCATAAAGTTCTACCTCATTAGAAGTTTTCTAATAACAGTTTCTGTAATCAATTTTGTAATAAGTCCAAACAACTTCTATTGGCTGCCCCTTATTAGGTCGATTCTTGTGATTTGATCCATGAAAGCAATTTTCCACTTTTTATAGGCTAGAGCTCACTGTCTGTAAAAAATGAAAACCAGGATGTTTCAGGCATTTTTCTAAACTTTAGCTAAAATACTTAAATCCTTATTTCAGGAATGTTTAGCTCAACAGCTAAAAAAAAAGAGAATATATTACAGTTGCATATGGTTGTTAGAATATTATTTTAATGAGACTGTTAACCTGCTAATTCATTCCAAATTTGCTGGCCAGTCTACTATAGTGCCTCAAGCATGGCTCAGAACACAAAGATTAACACGGAGAAAAATTATAGTGTGACTTGTAGATAGATCAGCACCTACTTTCTAATTGGAAATGCTGGATATTTAAAGAATCATTCCATTTTGGGATGCAGACAGATGCACAACATTTAAGCAAAGTCTTATCACAGCAGTGATATTTCCCATTGTCACTATACCTTGCATCAAGCTGTAATCGTGTCTTTACTAGCCAAATGGGATTAGTTGTTGTGATCGCAGTAAAACCTAAAATATTTAAAAAGAAAAGTTAGGTGTCATAGAATCACAAGACCAACTGCATCTAAGTTCGAAATGCACACAGTAAGGTACAGAGGATGCAAAAACTCGGACTATACTGATTTATAGAAAGTACCCATTGTAGCCCTTTACTGTTATTTTATTAATCCATACAGCCAATAAACATTTAACTTATTTTTAATTTTTACATTAATATTGAGTAAGTTTGATTCTTAGCAAGAGACGTCCTATATAAAATAAGCCCAATTGTGTACATTTCGCCACCTATCTAATCATATCAACCCTGTTTTGACACCACAAAAGAGCAAAGCTAGCTAGGCTAATATTAGCCAATTTGGCAAACATGTCAATAAAGATGCATTGCAAATACAGCTATAGCAATTTGAGATGGTATAAAACATTATGTCAATTTAATTTGCTACCTGAAATACAATCCGAGTTTAAAAGCATGCAGACTGAATAAATACTACTTTTGGTGCAGTTAAAAGGCATGTATTACTGTAAGTTAAGAGACCTTTTAATAATGAACTATAAAGAGTAGTTAAATTTGAGTGCTAATGTTTTATTTAGTATTCAAAGCAGAGATTGTTGGTTGGCCTAGGACTACTTTTACAAGCATATGAGTGTTTAAGTTGTTAAAGTAAATAGTATGACTTCTAACTATCCACACAGACACCAACTATTCAGGCTTGCTTAAGGGCTTAAAGCTTTGATTTTCAGTCCACTAAAGAAAAACAAAAGGAAGAAAAAAAAAGGAAAAGGAAACAAATAAAAAAAAATAAAGAAAAGAAGTAAGAATCACTCTTACTTCCGCACAACCGTGGAGAGAAAAAGAGCAGAGTGAAAGGCAGCTCTGAAAAAGTAAAATAAAATAAAACATCTAGAGTTGTAATACCACACATGCACCATTAATGAGGTGTCATGTCTGCAGGAGAGAAGAGGAAAAGGGAAGAGCTGGAACATGGCCAGGCAAGAGATGATAAATTTAGACACTTGCTTTCTAAGTGACACACATCACTTATATATCACTAAAAAGACATACTGCCCTCCTGCAGGGGAATGGACTGGGGTTGTGGGAAAGCAAAGAGTTACCTTGTTCAGTGCATATCTGGTGCACAATACTTATACAGCAAACAGGCTATTGATAAGCCTGTTTATGGAGATCATTAACAGCTTACATATATATATTTAGCAGAACCACTTGCATATGTTACGTGTTACTTCAATCACAACCTAGGTTTACATTGTACACAAATGACTGCAATACTGAGAGAAATGCCAGGGGATCTTAACTGTTTTAAGGTTTGTTCTACCCCCACCACCAAATCTTAAATAGTTCATTATGATTTTCAGTTACTGTTCTAAAGACAAACTACAAGCTTTAGCAGCTACTAAGATTTAGCCATACTTCTGTGCCAAAATAGCAAAACCACATTGGATATTTCAGTTTAGTCTTTTGATAAAATAAGTTTTGAAACTTACTCAAACCTCTTAACTAAATAACTAGAGAAAGGTTTGGGGTTGGCTTTTTTTTTTTAATACACTACTCATTTTTATGTCTAAGTACATATATATGTACGTATTTCACTCCTTCATATGATGGCGTGAAATCCTAAAAAGCCAAAAGTAGGTTATATCTGTATTTCATGTAGGTAAATAATTAAGTAAAAACTTAAAGCATCAGGGAACTACTCTGCCATAATAAGGCATGGGATGTTTTTAAAACATACTGCATCTGCAAAAAAGGTTCTGTAGTTCAACTAGCCATAGCCCTTCTGACCTGTCCCTTGATGCCATAGAAACTTCACTGATTCCAATAGCACTTGACCCTGGGTTGAACTAAACTGAAGGAAAACATTGCTCTTGAGTTTTTTCTTTATACTAGCACTAGGAAAGGTTTATTTTTCTTTTACTTCAAATCAGAATCTTTCCACATCTGTAGTGCAGTGAAGGGCACTAGGAATGCACAGGACAGCAAAGGTTTTGAAATAAAGTGGGGAAAAACTACTAACTTCCCCTACCAACAAGTTTTCCAGGAAAGACTTCTTTCTATAAAAGAAAATTTGTTCCCAAGTCTCTCCTAGTTCTTAATTAGAAGTGAGGAAGTCCAGAAAATCTTTTGCATTTCTATTTAAGTTGCATGCTTTGGAATTTTGTTACTGCTAGACTGTATGTTACAGCATTATCTGCTTAGTCCTTTCTCCTTCCTATTCAATTCAAAAAAGCGGTCTCTGTAGATCCTAAATCTACAAAGGAAACACAGAGGTGAGATCAGACGTAGTGTCCAAGTGGCAGTAGTGACTATATTCACCCACAGCAGCAGCCTGATACTTCTAGGCAGGCTGGGAAGAGAATATTGGAGATTGCCAGTGAAGGGTGGTTGGCACAGGATGCAGCTTACTTTGTCCAAAGTTGCTCTGATCATTACTTAAGCCTAGCACCCCTAACTAGGGCTGTCATAAGCCTAAATTGGTGCAACAGTTCAAACCAAAGCGTTCAAATCAAAGAGCCTTCAATAATTCAGGTTTCAATATGCAACGACTACAGCTTAATTCTTACAGGTACTGCAGCAAATACAGTTAGCAGAAGAAAAATAAATTGAGTTGAGTGATGCTGACATTGAGGAAAGCACTCCAAAACATGAAACATAGCATTTGGGATCTTTGATACGATAAGCTTTTTTTTTTTTTTAAATACAGAAAGTCTGTAGCAAAAGTATTTGTTAAAAAAAAATAAAGTTGAGGGGGCTTTCAACTAATATGAACCTCTATCAACTGTTTTCTTTTTCTATTTTTCTTTTTAGAAGTCTTGGTGAACCTTATAATGCTTTACAATGTTTATCAATGTGTTGCATCCTTAAGAAAGATTCTAGATTAATTAGAAGTATAAATCAATTTGGCAACACCAGGAACTCCTGTACCTCTCTATGTTGTATTTTCTTCTATGAAATTGTATCCCAGTTTCAGAAAGAAAGAATTATCTCAATCTCCTTTTTCAGCTATTCTAGCTACTAACAGGTAAGATCCCAGGTATTCCTATTATGCATCACATTTCAAAGGTTAGGAATTTTTTTTTATCTACAAGCCAATGCAATTGATTCAGACATATGTGAATATGGAATGCTGAATTAAAAATCCAAAGTATTAAAACAAAAAAAAACTAAAAGAGAAAACAGAAAGAGACAGAGAGGAGATTATATACATACTAAAAAAGAAAAAAGAAAAGAGGTCTTTGAAATAATATGACAACACAGAATATCAGCTGCAGCATTTTAAAGGCAGCTCTGAGGTACTGAAAAAACCCAAAAGGCCTTGTTTAACCCAGTAGGGACTTTCAATTAGCCAGAGCTAAGTAAAGTAGCAGCTACCAGTGAAAGGTATTTTCCACCTTTCCCTGAACTGCACAGAAAAAATAACTCAACAGAGTTAAGGAGAAGTGATGTCTTTGCACAATGCACGTCATCCGAGTTCAAGATAATGAAAGTGAATTCCCCTTATTTTGTTTATTTAATAGATATTACAAACCCAATGTGTGGTTCTTACACTAGAGGCTGCAAGAGACGCTCAGTTCAGTACTCACGAGGTTTAAGTTAGTCCATATTTCTGCAGGAAGTGACCTGCGGATGGGGAGCATGAGATGACACGATCTCACTCTTTTCACGGGAGAAATGTACAGTAAATGCCTAAAATAGACACAGGCTTTTCTGTATCATAACAACAAGCAGTGACCTCATCAGACACATGTGTACAAATCGAATCCCATTGGAAGGATTTGTGAATTAGTTATTGTGAGATCTAACTGTTTTCATGTAAAAGTTTAGGAAAAAAATAAAATAATAATCAGAACAGGCCACAGATATTAAAATAGTTGTGTAAAATGCACTGAGTACTGAAATTTCTGCTCATTTGCAGCAGTTCAATTTTATTTCTCCAAATACTTACCTATATATTAAATTTACAAGTGATCCCTCTGTCTTCCCCACTCCCTCCCAAATATCAGTCAAAAAAGCTAGCCTTATCTTAGGACTGAAAAAGCAAGACAGATGCCTTATGAAATCAAACTTTCTAACATCAGTAATCAATGAACTAAACATGCATTTTATTTGGTATTAAGTAACTGTGTACATACTACTACAAAGTCACAAAAGCATGGTATCTCTGTAAGTCATAAAGTGGCCCCATTTTTTATTAAAAAAACCAAAAAATCTACATTTGGGTTGATTTGCCAGTAGACTTCTAGAAAGAACAGCGATAGCATACAAGGCAAAGTAGTTCTGCAGCAGATTTGCAACCATGTTGTCTGAATGAGGCTATGAGTCATTAGAGAGGCAAATCAGAAAGCTGTACAGGAATCAAGTATCATTCGGTTCTCTACAGTTTTTATTCTCTGTGGCAAAAAGAGGTTGAACAAGTGCAATGAGAAGGCAGAGTTTATACTGAATCTGAGAATTTAGCCTAACTTTGAAATGTACAGAGATAGACTACCTTCACACAAGCAGACACTCATTCTTATTGTATGCTTCAGATATAATCACTGTCCAAGTTTGCAAAAAGAGAACCATGTGACATGCCAAGTCATAATCAAAAAAGATTGCCAAGTACTTCATGTCAATACACAGGTATTTTAGATATGAAGGTGACATGAATTATATGCCTGAAGCTAGCATGCAGCAAGAGAAAAACATTAATTTCTAATTACATAAGGCATCAATTACTAATATGTAGCATAATTCATCCTCCTTGGGATAAAACAAGCCTACTAAAAGGATCTTAATAAAACCAAAACCATGTTTTATCTTAAGAAGGAAGAATCAGGCTAAAACCAAACAAAAATGCTAAAAATACCATACCTCAGCTTCTCACTCTCCAAAATACTGTGTGCACAGAGTAATCCTTATTTTATAATGACATCAGTGTAGCCTGAGATACTTAAGTATTAACATATGATACAAGTAAACTGTATTTAAAGTTAACTAAAGTTCACTACTCAGAGTACTTTAATAAAACAGTAAGTTACAGATTTTTTTTAAAATTGTATTTTTGCATCATTATTGTATTTTATTGTATTTGTATTTGTTGTAATTGTATTGTATTTCCTACAGGAAAAGCTTTTTAAGTGCGAGCACTATCTCCTGCTCATTAGGTATCAGAAGCCTTTATGTAACAGAAAGGTCATATCCAAACAAAAAAACCCCTCATTTAAGATTGAGTTACTCAATTCGTTACTGAAACCAGTGACAGCTGCAAAAGAAAAAAACCAATACTGATTATTTTTTGCCAGTTATTAGAAATGTTCATCCACCTTGCTAATATTGAAATCTTAAGTTCAAAAGCAAATATTACAGTAATCTTCTGTGTTAACTTGTTTAAGTCAGCCAAGTAAGAGCTCACAATCTCGTCCCTGTTATTTTGCCATTTCCTTAAGCCGACTTGCATCATATCACAATACAAACCTTGCAGGTAAAACTGTTAATAGCTGGTTTAAGTGCATTTTCTGAAATATATTAGAATTACAAAAACAAGGTTAGCACATTCCCAAGAAAGCACTATTAATTTTAACTGCAGTCCTTTTCATATAAATCAGAATACCACCAGTACTGAGTATTGAGAAACTGTTTGTCAAAGACCCTTCTTTGAAAGGTCTTCCATAGAGCATCTTTCAAGAGAGAAAGTAAATTATGACTTGCTGTGTGAACCTGCACTGGGCATTCAGTTTCATCACTGGTTTAGAAATACAACTGCAGAACTAGGTATGTACAAGACAGACACAAAAGTTGTTCAATATTAAAACTTGCATACAAAAGTTAAAAAGGCAAACAGCAATTAAGGCTCAAATACATTTACCCCAGTCTCCTGCAGTCATTAGTACAAATGCATCCTACCAACCTTCTGGAAGGGAAGTAAGTTAATAAGCAGACACAGAACTCGTGACAAGCTACAGTGTGTCTGCAAGCACTTGGGAAAAGTCACTACAGCACATCTCTGTGTGTTCTTTTCACTACAGAAGGAGGGCAGTAACTTCCAAAGATAAGGAACACTGACTCTTTGTTTGCGTGCAGCAGTGCATGAGTTACACAAGTTATCTTCATTTGAGGATAGGCTTGTTTCTATTGCCCATACTCCTGCCCCCCGCCCCCCAAATTTAAGCACGTTTTTTCCCCTTGATAAAGAGCTGAAGACAATTTTTCTTGGAGTAGTTAATTGATTAGGATGAACTCTCATTAAATTCCCTTCTATCCCATTCCCATGATGTTCACCTACAAACAAAACATATTTCCAGGTAATAAAAAAAATAGTGCATCATCTGAGCACCTTATTTTGCCCATTTAAGACAAAACAGCTCTCCTTATATCTCTAAGATTAAAAAATGCCATTGCATTTCTCATGTGCTAGAGATGAGCATCAGTGTGTTATTTAATCATAAAGCTAGTGTCACTTATATTTTCTACGCTATATAAAAATTTCTTTGTGTCAGATTATTAGCCAGTATTAAATAGAAAACTAATCCTATTAGTTATTCTGACATAGCCTTTGGCAGTCCATTCCAGCTTACTAGTACTCAAATTATATATATTGGTTTTAAAATTTGACAGAAATTAGAAACTTCATCAGGCTACCATAAAATTGTCAGAATTCATCTGTGAAGTGTCTACGGCCTATACAGGAAAAAAAACAGCTTGTGAAAATTTGTTTTTGTGTAGGATAGATAGACACAGGCAACAATAGGTGAAGTTTTGATTTCCCCAGCACAAGTCCATGACCATAACTCAGCTCAGTTGCCTTTAACTTCCTGCGTTAATGATCCCAAAGCACAGAACATACAAATCAAGCAACAAATACTGGTAGCTGCTAAAATATACCAAAATTACACCACAGATATAAACCAGCTGTTTATTTCCAGAGATGAAAATATATGCAAACTACAGAAATCTTCTCTTCTATGTCACTTTAGGGGTAGAGCAAACTTCAAATGGACTGGTATTTGAACAAATGAGGAGGAAGTGTTGCATGTAATTTAAACAAATATCTGCAAGCACATTTCAGAAAGACAAAAGTAAGTCAGATATACAAAGCTGCAACAGAAAGTGATGGTAAAAAAACAGATTGAGAAGCATTAAACCAGAGTTCAAAGCAAAGAATGTTGTTTATAGCTTGAAGAGCAAAAAGTTACTGTTTTGAAAGTTCCATTTTACATTTCACAAATTTACAATTGAAAAAGCAGGCATGCAAGTTTTCCTAGAAAAGACTATTTGCACACACAGTTAAAGATCTTAATTAACACTAAGTGCAAAGTTTCATACACATATTCTCCAGATAGTTTGTTTAATGAGAGGCCAAAGAAGGTAATGACTACAATCATTCACTGAACACTGTTTTGTTCAGGTTTCCCCCCCCACCCCCCCCCCCATGTATTTCCACCTCACATTTGTAGATATGATTAGAATGAAGCTAAAAAGTTACAGATCCTTACCTGCCACACCAGCTGAAATCATGTGTACCTGGGTAGAATCTGGACTGAAGATACTGTTCAACTTTTCCTTGCAGTTTGAGTAAGCAGCAAAATATATTGCTCTAAAATTAGAACAAAATCCAAGTTACGTTATATCTTATGCATCAGTGCCATTAACTTCACTAACTCAAGATGATCTTGGTTCAAATCTTACTTCCTCGGGAAAAAAAAAACTACTCAAGGAATAAGTCTCGCAAAGTAGTGTGACTATTCTAGTAATGGAAAAGAAAAAAATAAAAACCATACTTTACAACTTTTTCTTCCACAACAGCTTCAGTTAACAATTAGTGAGGGGAAGGATAGATAATTAGAAATATGGCAGTAATTGTGACACTAGAAAGTTTAGCGAGGGAAGAAAAACACTGCTTAACAAAGAACTGAAGTTACAGTATTCTGTATTTCTTTAACAGATCAAATTTGTTCTAACAGACCTAAACTCATTTCAGTAGCATTACAATTTCAAAAGAACTAGCAATAACAAGTATGTAGCTTTTTTTTTAAAACCAAACAGCACACTTAATATTTATAATATTATTCTAGCATTTAAGATGTAAATATTGATACCTTGTGGTTATATTTTATAACTTGCAGTTCTAAATATGTATATTTTAAATGCTAGAACAGCTGTGAAGCTGGGATTCCCATTTTGTTTCTTTAGTTTTGTATTTAGAATAGACACAGATTTTTTTTTTTCTCTGAATACACTACCAAAAAAAATTGTAAACTTGTACTACATTCATGTCTGAGCTGGTATCAAAACAAAGCTAGACATAAAAGTCAGCAAGTCAATGCATTATATTACAAAAACAATGCTTGTTTTCACTCATTAAAGCTAAACCCCCTTATTTTAAGCACATCCAAAATTCACATTTAAGTTTGTAACTCCTCTTTTTTATTTTATTTAAACTTACAGACACACCTCTATAAGAGAAAATATGAACATGCAAGTTTTCCTGAACAGAACATTAACCTGATTAGCTGTGCAAACATGTTTTTCTTTATTACAAAGACGACAAAGTGCTTGTTTCATGACTGTAATTTCTAAAATGGAATCTGAACTCAGTTAAGTATACTGGATGTGTTATGAAACATGCTTCTCTACAGCTTATTTAAACAAAGAGCTGCTGTTAAATCCACTTAGCTAATGCTTAATTGAAATGAAGTACTGCATGAAGACCGAGGCAGCCAGAGGGGAATGAGGATGTGCTTATTTATAAGACTTCACACATTATATCAAGTTGACATTTTTAGTATGGCAGGGGAGGAGGGAAACAGCTAAGTATTTCACCTGTGGGAAGAATGGAAAGAAATTAGAAGATTTAATGTAAAATTTACTAAAAATAAATAGTTTTTTGCAGTTGGGGATATTTTTCATTGAGGATAGTAACTTATAAACGGAATCTATTGCTGTATAAAAATTGCTGTTAAAAAAGTAATATAAATGTTGAACATTCAGACCAGACTGGACTATCAAACAACAGTACAAGCTCTTCAGATTAGGAAGTGCTAATACCCACAGGTGTCAGGAACAAAGAAAGCTATTGGAATTGCTTCAGCTTCTCCAAACAGCAATGCTAAGTTAGTGATCAGAAAGTGTCTCCGGTACTCCTAATTACTTAAAAAAAAAAAATCTGCCAAAATAAAAGAACTTCAATTCAATTCCTTCAGTTCTCTTATTCAAGCAGAGGATCTACAGAACACCACATCATCTGTCAGATCTAAGTAGAAGACAGATCAATGCTGAATGGAAAGTCCAGTTTAATAAAATGTTCCAGAAGCATCTAATGACCTTAAACTAGAAAAGTTAAGATATTCTCCAACTGGGTGTGCAGAAGACAGAAATATCTTCTCTTCAGACAAAAAAAAAAAAAAAAAAATTAGGGCACCAAGTCAAGGGAAGAATAAAACCTTTGTGGAATATATTCCCTCTACATAAAGACTCTTCTCTTTTTAAGAAAAAGAAGGGAATAAAAACAGACCAGAAAACCTCAGAGGCCATATAGCCTCACCCAGGATTAAGTAGTTATATTAGTTTTACAGGGCTTTATTACCATACTCTTCCTTAGGTATTCTATTTTTGGATTGAACTTAGGCTAACACTTGCATGTAAGAATCAATTCAAGCTCTGACATAATCTGTACCTCGCTCTGACTGCCAGCATGAGAGAGCAGCTAGAGCCTTTGTGCTGATGCAGAGCAATGGACAGTAGCAATACCACTGCCAATGAGATCAGATTTACATCCTCGTTCACTGCACTCTGATGCTGCCCCAGTACCCTTTGGAGTCTAGTCCATTGCTGGATCTGCTTTCTCTGGGACAGCTGTTAAGTGTGCCATCCTACCCAATCTTGCCCTTGAAGTTTTCGAACAGGTTTCCTACTGCAGGGGGAAAGTAGTCTGTGCTTCACCAGAATCCAGGAAGAAAGACCTAGTGTTTTGAGGCTACAATCACACCATGGCTTCCTGAAGACGATGGACTAACTGAAAGATAAATCTACCTTCACATTTTCAAAAGTGCAACTTCTTGTTTACATGTGCAACTCCTTAAGCATTTTCCTTCTTAACTGGACAAAACTCTGCATAAGGAATAGTACATAATAGTAAATACTATTATAGTGGCATATAGGATAGTAAATGCTGAGACAGTGGGATTGGAGCTGCAAAGTACACAAGTGACTCAATTTCTCAGACAACAAGATTACCCCAGGAACCAAAGGTTATTTGCTATTAAGCATTTACAACTACAGATGCAAAACTCACTTCAAATTAACCTTAAATACCTTAAATAACATACAGCAACTTAAATGTAATCAAAATTATTTAATTTACTGTACACATTTGTATTTACCTGGAAGGAGCAACGCCTACTAAATTAGGACCCAGCCCTCTAAACAGAGAACGAGGGCCTTCCTTTTGCAAGATCATCCTAGAAAACAAGAAAGTGACAATACTGTAACATTCACATAAAAATTAAGGAATGCACTTGACAACCATAGCTACATCATTTTAAGCTTTACTCTGTGTAAAACTTTCATAGTAACCGACAATGCAGCGCTGACCACAAAAAAATAGTAATTTCCTAGAATCAGCATAAAATAAAATTACATTATTACTTGACATGCCATAGAAGAACTAAACACAGAAATAAAGCATTATGATGTCAATACAGACTTGCCTCAAAGACAGGAACACATATATACATGTGGTTATCTGTCATTGGGAAGTTAAAGAAAGTGTCCTTTTATGAGGGAGAAAATACTAAGCATGGAAATGTTCAGATTCCTGTAGGTTGTAGATTGTTCAGGAGACAAATACTTGATTCTATTCTACATTCCTTTCATCACCCTTTAGCTCCCAATGTTTGGGAACTTTTTTGGGTGAAAGGGACAGGGGGTGAACGGCAAGAGAGGAGGAAAGAAGAGAGACTTACGAAGGTTGAAGGTTCAGTTACAGCAAGTCATATGCTTTCTGAGAGCAGCTCATGAAGATGTTAGCTCTACTACCTCTCATGCCCAGCCATGGACATCTTTTGCAATCTATTACCTACTCTTCTCAAAAAGACAGAAACCTCAACATAGCTTTGCATGTGCTACTCTGGTTTGATTCTTCAACACTCCTAACAGTACACTAAGTTATGTGACAGAAGTTAGAGGAAAGGAGCCTTTCAGATACAAAGTCCTGCCTTCCTCATCCCCATAAGTGATCTAAATCCACTAAGCATTCAACTAGGAACCCTTTCTTAGCTTTACTCTTTCTATAAGATAAGGTGATTATTTTGACTACAGTAAAAGGAAATGGAAACCTCTGATGTGAGAAGTGGTCCTGCCTTGAGGCTGGCAGGGAATCTGTCCTAGCAGTTCAGAACTACTGCCTGTGTGCTCCTACCAAAGCACTGCTGCTGGGCTATGGAACTAGTGTTTTTTCCTTTTTGCTCCATTCCAAAAAGACAATCCTTAGCTCCTCATGCAAGGTAACTCACTTAAAGTGGAGATTAACCGAAAAAGGAGTGTAACCCATGCACAGAGTCACACCACAGTACAGCCCTAACGTCTCATGGTACCAAGTCACTATAAACACAGCTCTGGAAAGATTGCTTGGGTATGACCTTACATCTTTGCAGAATTTACAGAGAGACACAGGGACACGAGAAGTGAATTGAGACCTCTGATGAGGCATTACTAGTACTTAAGTGTTTGGAATACCTACCCTATGTAACTGTGGTTTTTAGAAAGAGTTGAAAACCATCATGCAGCAAGGCAAACTGGCACGGTAAGAGGATACCATCAATATCTGGTTGCCACTAAAGTAATCTGTCCAACAATCTAGATGCTAATCAGATATGGTATTTTAAAAAGTATGGTAGGACATGGGAGGAGAAACAAGGACTATCTGCATCCCAGCACTACGAACTGCTCTAGCAATTGCTTTAGAACCATATTTAAAGTTAATTTGCAACTACTTCACTAGATGCTACAAAACAGAACTCTGTGCTTATTGATTTAGAAATACTGGCCAATATACACAAATAGTTCTGTATATTTCTTCTTGAAAGAGACAAGCAGGTTAGTGACAAGCCAATTACTCAATAAAGCAAACTACCCTTGTATAAATGGCTATTTTGTTTGGAATTTACTATCAGAACAAACAGGTGAAAGCACTGAAGGAGATTCCAAACCTATTCTGATTTCCAGTAGTTGATTCACCACAGTTCTGTTGCTATATCAAACTAAAAGTTTACATTTGTTTTCAGTAAGCAAAAGTAAAATGGTGGTTCAGCACAATTATCACTATTTAGAAATGCTGGCACATGTGTCCAGCAACGTCTTAGCTTCATGTCCATAACAATTAGATATGCCTTCACCCTGTGGGTAGCATTGCTCCACAGCAATAGAATCATAGAATTGTTTCGGTTGGAAAAGACCTTTACGATCATCAAGTCAAATAACTGGAGTATTGAACACATACTCAAGAGCACTTTGGAAATACGAATTACTTAGACATGTCTGTCATTCTGACAGTATTTCTAATACTTACAGAATGAATTCATCTAAAATATCTTGCCATATTCCAGAGCTCAGCATGGGCACAGCATCAGATTACAGCAAAGTTGAACCCAGTTAACATGATCTGTGTCCACTTAAAACACTACTGAAAAATCACTACTACCACAATATCCTGTGTTACACACGTATATATGCACATATAACATACACATATAACATATGCATATATACAAAGCAGCAAGAACCTCAGTCTTAAGAGAAACTCAGGAGTGAAGTGGACCAGGTTTATTTGTTTCTTCTGCATCTACAGTGTTCCAAGACTTGACAGAGTAACAATGTGTTAAAGAGAGGTTGCAGCAGATAGGATTATAAAGGTGGTAGTTAGTGACCCTCTTCTGCATTCACAGACACCAGCTGGAGGAGTTCCAGAACCTACACTAAAAATAAAACACAAACTTTTTGCATTAAAAAGCAGATCCCAGAGCCTGCATTGTTTGTTGAAAGCAGTAAATGGCAAATCCATGGTTGGAAGAGCAGCCCAAATGCTCCAAATGGCCTCAGCTGACCTGCTTACGTCACATGGGAAAGCCAGCACTGGGAGGCCAGTCAGATTTCCATTATCAGGACCTCAGATTTAAACTCAGCAAGGTTAGTTATGAGAGGCATCTGCAATATGACATACACCACAGATATTTAGCAATAAGGGAATTTGCTTTTGTCGACAGAGAATACAGTCACCTGTACCAGTTCTTCTGAGTTTGTTTCCTGACAAAGATGCCTTTGAAGTCACCTCTGTTGATGCTTAAGATGCAGAAGTGATTTCACAGCAGCCAGTTAACTGAAATTCTGCCATCATGTGCCTGATTCACTCTGCTTTTAGACTGAGTATTGCAAATCTTGGAGCACTACACTGAATTTGGTATGAGAAGAGACAACCAAACCCTGACATCTACAAGTCAGAAAAATATCAAGTGAAAGTAAAAGCAAAAGGGTTATGAGTGACAGAGGGATCCAGTTTGATTTGCTCACTGAACAGTCCTAGTCCCTTAACCAAGAATAATTATGCCCTGTACCTATGTATTTCTATTGTCACAGTCCATTGCCAAATTATTTGGGGTTTTTTCATTTTTACTGTATTTAAAGATTTTGAAACTCAAAAAAGTTAGTTAGTATCTCAGTTGTTTGATACTGACCTGGAATAAAAACACATCTAAGCAAAGAACAAAAGCAGAAGTTACACATTCTTGTACCACAGATAAACAAGCAACATGTCTAAGCATCAGATTAAAAACAAAACAAACCCCACACAAAAACAAAACAAACAAGCCCTACCAATGAAGTTCATCATGGACTATCTCTACCTCAGCTGAATTTGCTTCCTGGGAAGACTAAGTTATTTTGGGTTCTAGGGTTGGGTTTAAAGCATAGCAGGCTTCTAGCAGAGGTGCATATGAAACAAATATCTGTCTTCCTGCTATTCATTCAGATGCATTTCTAAATGGAAGATAAATTCATAACCAAACATACAGTTGAAGGACTCAACTTCCATCAAAAGAAGCCAGTGTTTTAGATGGAGCTCTCCTCCCCTGTCACAATCTAAGCCCTTTTTTCCCCACACACTTGTTCCCAATATGTTCACCCATCAGACTCCGATACATAGAAGAGCTGAATCAAAGCTTCCATGATAAGAACTATCTTCTATTCAAGCAGTTATTTGGGTAAAACCCCCATTTAAGCAAATCCTATTCCCTACCCAGATTAAGCCTAAATTCTACACTGCAACTGCCAGAAAGGGCATTCTACAAACTTCTCACTGATTAATGGGGATAGAAGATAGCTTGTCTGAGTCTTATCAAATTCTTTATAATGCAAGAAGCAGTAGTAGGTCCTTTCTGGAGGAAAACTCCCCTCATTCCCAAATACTGAAGGTTCCTCTCCATAAATGACTAGCTTGAGTCCCCCAGAGTGAAGTGAACCCTGTCTGTGGTCTGTACTAGCAGTTTAATTGTGGTCAGCTTTCCTACTGGCTATTGAACATCATGAGCACTGGTGACAAGAAGTGCTTCATAGCACTAAAAGAAGTGTTACTAGTCACACATCCACCAGCAGGTATTGAGAGGCAGGAAGGGTACAGAGGGACTAAGAAACTGAGTTAACTTTCACAGGACTTCTTGCCTCCATATCTAGCAACATCTATGATTTGGAAGCAAAACCGTTTAAAAAGTCTTATACTAACACCTTTTCAGGATGAAAAACCAAGTCTGGCACTTAAGCAGTACCTGTGCCCCCAGTGAGTTTTTGGGATGTAGTTTGGAGCTGTGAATTATACAGGGTATATATGCTCTAGCTAATTCAAGGTACAAACTCAAGCATGAAAGACATTCAGAAAAGTGGAATGTGAAACTTACAGTTAAAAGGCAAAACATGCAAAGTCATCTCATGGTAGCATTATGACAGACGTAAGAGTAAGTCTTTCATACAGATTTGTCCATCATACCTCTCTTCTCTCTTCCCAAAGTGAACCAAAAACCTAGCAACATGTACACTCACTTCAAACAATGGAGAGGTCCAGGAGAAACTCTGGTTACTCGATTGATGCTAGCACCATTCACAGTGTTGAGATGGACTTCAGAGATGTAGAGAGTCACAGATGAGGACTGCAATCGTGTTTTCACAACTTCCAGTGGACATGTCAGAATTGCACCAACAGTACCTCCACATCTGCAAAAAGAAATATGATCACATTTTTAACTACAAAGAAACTGAAGGATATGCTCACATATAATTAACATTATACTCAACACAGTCAAATTGCAAAGGGTGAAGAAACAACTGGAACGTGCGTGACAATGCTGCAGTTATTTGCCCTTGAAGGCAAGTAAACTGTTAAGTCAGTTTGTTAACTCCACAACTTGGAGTAAAAATTTAAACAGACAAAAATAAAGTTTCCCAGAGTAGTGAAAGTGCAGTCTTCAGTACATGCTGTTCAAAACAGTACTTTCTGGAAAGTAGGTCAGTATCTGAAATGCTTAACTTCTTATGGTAAATTTTAACTTTTTTCAAATGTTTAGTGCCTTCCTGACCACAAACAAGGTGCCAAAAATCCTTAAGGTTAGAAAAGCTTTATGCACATTGGACTATATGTGAAAAGAGGTAAAAAGCGTGGTGTGGCAATTTAATAAAATTAAAATACTTATGAAGACATCTTCAAAACTCCATTTGTATTTTGGGCATTGTACCATGGAAGTAGCGATTCTGAATGTCTCCCAAGTTCTGCCCATTACAGCAAGACAGACTAGGTACTGCAGAGTAGAACCTGGGAAGACTAAAGATCTTCAAGTGGCTAACCAGGTGAAGATGTGCAGATTTTGCTTCAGTCTGCCACTTGTTTTTGTTTCTGTAAGCAAGCCAAGGCAAGCCATGCATGACTTGTGCTGACACTGGAGCTACTCCCATTCTGCTAGAGTAGAACAAGCCAAGAACATCCTGCCTTTTAGCAGCTCTGCTCAAAGGATTCTTCTGGTGCTTGCTCATAACAGATTTATCTATATTCCTATCTGTGTAACTATGATCACATACAGCCTCTGAGGGAAAAACATAAAATCCACAAATTCTGATTCCAAAGACAATAATCACAAATTCCTTTAACCTTTTCCAAGATCAGTATTCTTAACTTTGCCAAATACTTAATTTTTAAAATTCTTAAAGCTATGAGCAGGACACTATATGCACCCTTAAAAAAACCCCACACAACACAGCAACAACAAAAAACAAAACAAACAAAAACCCCACTAAATTTAAATTATGGTATTAATTAATGCTACTAACAACTCAGTATGAAATCCACCAGGACACAAATACAATTCGTACTAAATTCAAAGGGCCCAGCATTCACTCCTCTGATGCAGGAACTAGAGCTGGTATTCGATTCTGACAAGATCGTTATCCGCTGTTTTGCTGTAATGTGAGTCTCAAACACCTACAAAACCTTTAAAAAGCTTTAAGACTTGTTCAGTAGTATTTTTTAAACAATGTCTCCTAATATGCAAAGGAGAGTTCAGTACAAATTAGAAGTACTAGCTAAGACTCAAGATCTACCATAAATTTTCATAGGAAGGTGGCTTTTAGTCTGTTGACGCTCTTCTACTACAAAGAATACCAGAAATAATGGTAGTTGTTAGCACAGTACTATACCCTAAAAAACTAATCCGTTTGTATGACTTGAACTGACAATACCAAACAGCTGCAAAGTAGGACAGTGTTTGATGATGTTCACTTAATGCTCCATTTAAACCTAGTGACCTAGAGGCATCCTATTACTAAGCCTAAAGGTATCTCACCCCACTCCTAACTCCAACACTAGACTGAAGTCTACTACCTTCCAAGTTTTAATTGAGGAAAGAAATCAAGTTTCTTTGTCAGTCTGAAAAAAGTGTTCTCACAGGAAGATGGAAGACAGTCTTCCAGTGTGTGCTGTATACAAGCAGTAACAGACTGACACAGCCTTTAGAGCAGCATGTTTAAAATATCTCTGAATGAGCAATCATTTGCTTACTCTGCTAATGGTAAGCTACAAATAGACTTTTTAAAATAAGAATCACAGAAAGAGACAGACTAGATGTGCCAACATTTATTTTAGCCAGTGTTGAAAGCAGTAGGAGCCTGTAACATATTAAGGTTCATGCCATGAATCCACATGAAAACCACAGGTAGGCCAGGCCTCAAAACAACTTGACATGGAGCTTTAGAGCTTGAGCATCTTCAAGACAGACAGCAAGTTACTGTGCTTCCTGCAGCTCAGCAGCAGACACTGCTGTATGGTAATGTGCCTGTGCAGGCAATGGAGGAAGTGGGCTTTAGAGTTTATTTCCTTTCTTGCAACCCCTCTGTTTCTGATCCCCTTGAGCACACTCCCTTTAAGTTCTTTCTGCATTTGATGTTGGACAGGTTACATGAGGACTTGTTTTCAAGCAACAGTAATATCAAGAGAAAGCACATGGCATGGTTTATATTAATGAGATAAAAACTATAGAAGAGGGAAGAAAGGAGGAGGAAAAAAAACTTGGCCTGCATTCTTCAACAGGGCTTGGAATTTGGAGCCTTTAATGGTACTGGCTCCACAGCTACATTGCACTGGAAAGATTTTCCAAAGTTGAAGATTAACACTGACCTGGAGCTTGTATCCTGCATGCTCCCCTGCACCACAACCAAATCACCACAAGGGAAGCCTGACTGCAACTGCACTTCTGTCAGACATTCACTGGGGATGAGTTAGAAATACTTCATTCAGCAATGGACTGCTAGAGAAGAAGGCAGATGTACAGCTACTCAGTGCTTGATGTTTTTAAGTCTGCCTACAGCAACTGTTGTTCTGTGATAGCCAGCAAGCCAGCACTATTTTCAATGCATCACAAGGAAGCAGTGGATCACCTGCATCCCTTTAAGAACTGTGTACACTTTACCTGCACCACATTCTGTCAGTCAAGTAATTTCAAACCACCATTCTTGGCAGTGTTGTTGGGTAGTTTGTTTGGGTTTTGTGGTTTGTTTGTTTTGTGTTTTTTTTTTTCCTTTTTTTCAGTTTTTTTATTCTTTTTTTCCTTCTTTTTTTCTTTAAGCAGTTTAAGACGTCTCAACCAAACCTGAGAATATTTTGGAGTGTTTTCCACTAACTACCAATAGCTTGGATTAAAATCCTCCTTTGTCCCCTATGTTCAAGATCTCAAATTGCTACTTACAAATAAAGAAAGCAGAGAAGTTTTATAGTAATATATGGTTATGTATTGCTCACAAGTCTTTGTAAAATCCTCAATTTCTACTTCTGTCAAAACGTAATACTTCACTTTCTCAGCCCTCAAAAAGCCCCATATAATAGAGAAAGCATCTGAAATTGAAGGACTGAAAGGAAAAGTCCCCAAGGGCTGAAGAACCAGACCTTGCTCAGTAGTCACAAGATCTACTGAGTTTGAACTAAACCACTAAATGAAAGCATAATCCAGGAACTACACTGATTTATCTAGTCCACTTGAACTTTAAGATAAACACTGCAAGGCATGACAAAAATCTGTTTATGAGAAACTATAAGTAAACATAGCTTGTAGGTAAACAAAGAAGAGAAAGAATTCAATAACTATGCATCCTGTACAAATAAGCAACTTGTAAGAGGCATGCCAGCTGTTCTGTCACCAGCATCAACTGCAGTGTATTTTCCTTAGAAATATATTTCCAGCCTTGCTTATTCAACACACTACTAGAAATACAGTGGAAGAGACAGCCACTTATTTGTGCTCCAAGTCCTGGCAGGCCATTTCCAGCCAGTCACTAGCTCCAGCTTAGCAAAAGTGTTCTATGAATTGTCAGCAGACTGCTGCCACCGTTCCGGTTACCCTCCTCACCAGCTCAAATTAATGGGAGGGATTTTTCAGTTTGTGGTTTAACACAAATAAAGGAGCAGCACAGTTTGGAAAAACACTTTTTTAAGAGTTAGAAGATTAATAGATTCCTTCTCCTTAACAGAGGTGGGATTTTGTGAACTATTTAAGAAACTTCTACGACCTAAAACCACCCTGGGCTTCAGCATCTCCAGTCATGTACTAGATTCTAACAACTGTGCCTTCTGAGAAGTTTTTCTCAAGGATTAGATGAGTTTCACCTGCTCGAGTGAGGAGGTAAGCAAATACACTCCTACTGACAGAGTGTAAACTGGAAGTGAAGAACAGCAAAACTCGAGATGCTCCTGTGTCTGAAAGTTTTCAGCCCTTTCTAATGAATGCTGTTCAGAAGACCACTTGCTCATCTTACCTATCCTAAATCTGACACTTGCCTCTAATCAATGTTTAGTATAAGACTTTTTCAGCTTTTCCAAGTGAATATAAGAAAAACTTGCAAAGCTGACTTTCACCAGAAACACCTGATTGTACAAGGGTAGGAGAACTTACCTGTAGGTTTCAAGTCTTTTGAATGGCAGAGGGGAAGAGAGTAGTATGTAAAACCACAAAAATAAACATACAGGTAAAAAAGGAAGATGAAAATCCCACTACCATTAACACAGCCAAGTTAGAGAATTAAATCTGCAGCTTAAACAATACAAGAAGGCACAATAGACACTGCACTCTGCAAAAGAGATACAGAGACACATTGTTATCACCTAACCTGCAGGATTGTGACAAACTTAAAACAACAGTAAAACTAAGAACAGTTGTCTACTTGACATCTCTTGGACAGAAGAATCTAGGAAGATTGCAACATTCTCCTAAACTGCAGCTTATTCTGGAGAGCACCCCATAAAAAAAACCCAAATCCAGATCCACCATTTAATTTGACCCCTGAAGTGCATTTAGAATTCCATCACCTTACTGGATTAACAGAAACAAACCTGGAACTATTTGGGCTTTAAACTCTGCTAGCAATTCAACATAGATACAGTATTGACAGCCATTTTCCCCAGATAAATCTCCATTATTTGTGAGGCACTGCAAGGAAAGAAATACGCACATACTTCAAAAACCTAATCCTATTTGGCACTCAAATCCCAGGTTCTATTTCCAGAGATGGCTGCATAAAAAAAGCCTTTTACTGTTGCAAGTTGAGAGTAGTCCTTTGTCCAGAGTAGTTGAGTATCTGCTACTGTTACCCTACACCCCTGCAAGTAACAGCTGAGAGAGCTCCTGCATGGATGAGGGTCTCAACTTCAGCCACTGGACTGTCTGTAAGTGCTCCAA